CGGTGGCAGGTAGGGATAGGATACAGAGGGACCTAGACAAATTGGAGGATTGGGCCAAAAGAAATCTGATGAGGTTCAACAAGGATAAGTGCAGGGTCCTGCACTTAGGACGGAAGAATCCCATGCACCGCTACAGACTAGGGACCGAATGGCTAGGCAGCAGTTCTGCGGAAAAGGACCTAGGGGTGACAGTGGACAAGAAGCTGGATATGAGTCAACAGAGTGCCCTTGTTGCCAAGAAGGCCAATGGCATTTTGAGATGTATAAGTAGGGGCATAGCGAGCAGATCGAGGGACGTGATCATTCCCCTCTATTCGACATTGGTGAGGCCTCATCTGGAGTACTGTGTCCAGTTTTGGGCCCCACACTACAAGAAGGATGTGGATAAATTGGAGAGAGTCCAGCGAAGGGCAACAAAAATTATTAGGGGTCTGGAACACATGACTTATGAGGAAAGGCTGAGGGAACTGGGATTGTTTAGTCTGCAGAAGAGAAGAATGAGGGGGGATTTGATAGCTGCTTTCAACTACCTGAGAGGTGGTTCCAAAGAGGATGGTTCTAGACTATTCTCAGTGGTAGAAGATGACAGGACAAGGAGTAATGGTCTCAAGTTGCAGTGGGGGAGGTTTAGGTTGGATATGAGGAAAAACTTTTTCACTAGGAGGGTGGTGAAACACTGGAATGCGTTACCTAGGGAGGTGGTAGAATCTCCTTCCTTAGAATTTTTTAAGGTCATGCTTGACAAAGCCCTGGCTGGGATGATTTAATTGGGGATTGGTCCTGCTTTGAGCAGGGGGTTGGACTAGATGACCTCCTGAGGTCCCTTCCGACCGTGATATTCTATGAATTGGCCCTCGGACACCACTGCTTTAAATTGTTGTCATTTATCCTCCGACACATCATCAATAAATTGCATTACCTTAGCATAATTTTTGTGGTCATATTTTGCTAAGAACACTGCATAATTCGCTACTCTAAACTGCGAAGTGGAAGAAGAATACACTTTGCAGCCTAAGGAGTCCAGTCTCTTGTTATCTTGTCTGATGGAGTGGATCGGAAGTGTTGGTATTTGTTTTTTGATTGGCCATGTCGACCTCTAGGGAATTAGGTGAGGAGTGCATAAATAGAAACTCAAAACCCTTAGATGGGACAAAATATTTGTGGTCCAGTCTCTTGCTAGTGGCTGTTATTGTGGCTGGGATCTGCCGAATAGTTTTAGCAGGTTCCATAATGGCACCATTAATTGGTAGGGCTATTTTGGAGGAGGTCGTAGCTTGCAGGATGTCAGTAAGCTCATGGTGTGTTTCAGGTACCTCTTCCAGGGTAATCTTGAGTTCCTCTGCTACCTTCTGAAACAACTCTTGAAAGTGGGCGAGCTCATTAGTGGCGGGAGTACCATCGTGTCTTATGGTGTTATCGCTGTAGAGGAGGTGTGCGGGGCCGTGTCCTCTGTAGGGGTGGCGGCCATGTCAGGTCTTATCTGGGTTTCAGTGAGAGCCGGCAGTGGGGAGGGTCTGACAGCTTTCCTCTGGGCAGCCCGTGGAACACCTGAGTGTGGTGTGGTGTGGTGTGGGTCCATGGACCACAGTATGGCCATTGCCCCGGGGTGGGGGGCGGAATAGGTGGTCCCATCCAGGGATTGCCATACCAGTGTGGATAGCCATGAGGATATGGAGATCATGTGGTAGTACGTCTCCCAATTGTAGGTAACTGAATCTGGGGAGAGTATTGAGAGGAAAACATCTGGTCATTGTATTCCTCTTCCTCCTCCCACACTTCACTGGAGGAGCTTGAAGTGGTAGGGGAGTACTGAAGGTAGGGTGCTAAAGATAGGGTGCTAAAGGTCTCAGTGATAGACTGGTGCTGAGAAGAGGAGACTCAGGAGCATGGGACACCCTTAATTACTCTGGCTGTAAAAACTGCGGTGGAGCTGACTGACCAGGAGTTGGTGCCGGTGTAGCTAGTGGAGGCAGAGTCTGCTGGGGCATCTGCTGATGCACCGAAGGGTGTCCCGGGGGTGCAAGCTGGCTCCGCGGAGTAGATGCCCCTGAGGTAGGCACTGCAATGGAGGCTGGAGACCTCAGGAGGCTCGGTGCCAAGAGCAGCGGCTGTAAAAGTGGAGCCACAAGATCAAAGGATGGTGCTGCAGCCACCGCTTGTATTGCCGGCACCATAGCAGCTCTAGGCACCATAGCAGCTCTAGGCACCATACTGGCAGAAGTGGCCGAGGGAGAGCTGAAAGAGGTGGGCAACTGAAAGCCCTGAGCCTCAGCACCATGTAGTGGGGCAGCCGACTCACGGTCAGTGCCTGAGGTGCCTGCCGCGTGAAAGGTGCTGAGCCGCGGAGCAGGAGTTACCAGAGACAGGAGAGCTCCTTTTAACTTTTTCTCCGAGGAACGGCTCCTGAGGGGGGAGGAAGCTGGTCCTTTTTTTGCTTTTGCTTTGCCTCTGGAGGGTGTCACAGAGGTGTCAGAAGCAGGATTGAGAGAGTTTTCCAGGAGCAGCATTTTAAGCCTGAGCTCCCTGTCCTTGCAGATCCGCGCTTTCAATTTGGTACAGTGGATGCATTATTGGGGTACATGAGACTCCCCCAAACAGCGTACGCACAGTGAATGCCCATCCAAGATGGGGATGGCATCATTACAGGAGGCACATCTCTTGAAGCCTGGGGAGCCAGGCATGTCTGTAACCGCTTGTTTTTTTAAGATCAAAGGACGGTGCCTGTAACAGCTAATGTAACTTATCTAAATAGTAATTCTAATGACTAAAAACTAACTAACTGAACTGAGAAACAAACTAACTAGCTAATCTCAAAGAGCACTGCTGAACTCCGTCTCTAACCCAGGATGGTAGAGAAGGAACTGAGGAGCCCAGGTTATGCATGCGCTATTCAAACACTGACAGCCCGTAGGGGTACTGCTGGAGAAATTTCCAATTGAAGGCGCTGGGACGCACCTTGACCTGAAGGTCCAGTTTTGGGCCCCACACTTCAAGAAGGAGGTGGATAAATTGGAGAGAGTCCAGCGAAGGGCAACAAAAATGATTAGGGGTCTGGAACACATGAGTTATGAGGAGAGGCTGAGGGAGCTGGGATTGTTTAGCCTGCAGAAGAGAAGAATGAGGGGGGATTTGATAGCTGCTTTCAACTACCTGAAAGGGGGGTCCAAAGAGGATGGCTCTAGACTGTTCTCAATGGTATCAGATGACAGAACGAGGAGTAATGGTCTCAAGCTGCAGTGGGGGAGGTTTAGATTGGATATTAGGAAAAACTTTTTCACTAAGAGGGTGGTGAGACACTGGAATGCGTTACCTAGGGAGGTGGTAGAATCTCCTTCCTTAGAGGTTTTTAAGGTCAGGCTTGACAAAGCCCTGGCTGGGATGATTTAACTGGGAATTGGTCCTGCTTCGAGCAGGGGGTTGGACTAGATGACCTTCTGGGGTCCCTTCCAACCCTTATATTCTATGATTCTATGAAGTGGAGCACCCACAGGGACATCTCTTGAAGAAGGAACTTTGGTTCCAGGAGCTTAGCCAGTGACTTCCTGTAGTTCAGTGGTTGAATCCTCTTTAAAACTTGGTAGCAATTATGTATTGCTTAATAATATTTTTGTATTTAAATTATTTTAATTTATCATAAATTATGCTTTGATATAGGTGGTCAGTTTTAAATTTTATTTTAAATAGATTTAGTTTTAACAAATAAACCTTATTTGATTTAAATAAAAAATAATCAATTTTTATCCACTCTATCACCAGCACTGGCATTCCCACCAGGATCACCACCACCACACATGGAGGTTTGGGGATTTATTATCACAACACTGGGCCTTCTATTTCCTGAGCCTAGAAGACATTCTGACAAGACCACACAAGAAGGGAAAACTGGATAACATCAACATCTCTATAGCGATATCCTGAATAACTGTTGCGAAGAGTCACATCTCAGAACTTTGCTGTGACCAGTTCATTAAGCTAACAGCAATTCTTACCTAGCAGCAGTGCCTAATTGGGCCATGTGCTGTGCCTATGATCTTCCCGTAACTGAACTGCAAGCACCAAGAACAGAAGTTGCATTTTTCTATCTGTTGCTATTCTTTTCTCTCTTTCCCTTTGTATGTTTGACATGTTTTGTCTTAAAAAGAAACAGCACCAATGACAAAATATCAGAGATACCACCTGAAATGGATTCTTTCCTCAACAAGGATACTTGATGCCATTTAAGAGACTTTTAAGCAAGAGTTTCCCTTTAAAAGATGCTATGACAATGGGAGAGGGGAAAGAAGAAGAATAAGAAAGCCTGTTAAAATGAAGAATTGAATTATGCTTCAATTTTTTAACAGTGACAAGTTTTAATGGTTTTCCCTTTTATTTTTATATATGTTTAATACATTTTATTGAGAATTTCTTGTTTGGCGATAGAACACCAAGCAAAATAAAGTCCCTGGCAATAAAACCCAAACTCAAATTACTATTAATATGATGACAATAAACAGTCAGCAACAAACAGCAAAGCTTAAAAAACAGATTCACAGATTTTAAAGCCAGAAGGGGGACCATTAGATCGTCTTGTCTGACCTCCTGTATAACACAGGCCATAAAGCAGCCTAATAACTATTTTGGATTCTTATGAGACAGAAACTAGGTAAAGAATCAGAATGGAGAGGCTCGGAACGTTGATGATGGTCATTCTACACCCTGACAGAACTTCTCCAGTGACTGAGTCATGGCTACAATGAGGGCAAGAAAAGAATTCGTCATGAATACAGAATAGACACAAGCTTGTCTCTTTCACCAACAAAAGTTGGTCCAGTAAAAGATATTACCTCACCCATCTTGACATTCTACAAATCAATTATTTTATCTTAGCAGAATCTGGACAGCATCTTTTCCTGATCTGTGCTCTCAAGTTATAACTTTTGGTGTGAATTTCCTACACATTCCTAAAGACTGGAAATTGCCTGAAGCAGCAGACAAGAGAGAGAGAGTCACTAAAACCTTACCGGCTTGTTTAGCATCATTAGGTTTAATGCAGCGAATGTATGATGGCTCCTTGGACATCAGAATTTCCATTAGTTTGGACAGACTGTTCTTAAACTGAGTTGCCGCCTAGAAGAAAGAAGAAAGACTCAGATACGACTAGTTTTTGTGACACTGCATCACACACATAAGGCTAAGAACAAATTTTTCAGTATCAAAGCTTTAAACATCATGGAAGTCCTTTTACACCACAAAGTTAGAGAGAAGGAGACATTATCTTCAGTAATTGGAAACGACTATGCTTCAATCCAACAATTGTGTTCTTACCGTTTCAGGTCTCTTTTTATCTGTCAACTCAGTCCTCTCAAAACAATGATTTATGATAGTATTCTCCGAGTTGCACATGGTCTAGAAAGAAACAGCAGAGGACAAATGCATGAAAATTGTTTAAAGGCGGACTGGACAAAGTACTAGAATGTGTATTTTTGGGAGTTGGCAGGAGAACAGATGAGACCCAGTTTGTCTTTTCTGTCTCTAATTTCTATGATAAACACCAATGATAAAACAAACTCTGGGGCCTCTTTTTACATAGTGTACCCATGTGAACAATGCATCCTGAAGATTGAAAGGTCCAAGACAGAGATGGTACCTTCACAGCCCACTCCATTCGCAACTTGATCCTTTACAATACTCCACAAAACAGGCAGTTCTCGATCGACACTCACCTCCTTCAGGTTCCGAAATAGAAGGTCATTGTTTTTATCCAGAAAACCTAGAGAAAAACAAAACAACTCAATCTGCTGTGGCTGTTTCATGGGAAATCCTCCCCAGTAAGGCAGGACCTTGAGCTGGAAAAGTAATTTGATTAATCAAATTACATATTTAGATATTATGTGAATGTATTAATCTGAATGGCAGGAGATAGGAGGAGAAAAAGGAAGTGTAACTGTCTGAAGTGGGGGAAAATGGGGACGGTAAGTGACCCTGGTGTCAGGCAATGGTGTACTTGTTGTGTAACATTTACCTGTGACACTGTAGGTGACCTCTCCAGCATAGTGCAAGAGACGGAACTCTTCTCGGCCTAAAGACTTCCGAGTCTTCTGGTCAGCCAGCTTGTGTCTGGGGAGAAAGCAAAAAGGCTTAATGGGGAGAAGATACTAGCCTCAAATAGGATTCATCTACAATTACTACTGATGCTAAGTACAGAACCACCACAGCTCTTGACAGAGGGATGGGACCAGAGGAAAACAGGCAAGCTGACACTGTGTTTCTCTCTAGGAACAGCAATACTAAGGTAAATGGGAGCCACAGATCAGCAACTATCACTCTAGTCCCAGAAAAATATTTGGACTTGTTCCAAAGTGATTAACTTTTTAGAGGAAAGGGGGTCAAACTCTGTGTGCATGTGAAATTGCACTGGAGACAGCAGGCCAGAGACCTTAAGGTTTCTGGCAACAGAGATTAAGTTATCAGGGAACCCACTCTGGGAGAATGTCACAAGGATGATGCCATTCAGACCTTGAATTGAGAATATGAAATGGTTCAGGGATGACTGAAAAAACCTGGCTTATTGGTGCTGCAGTTTTTAAAATTACTATTCTAAAAATTTTAAGCACAGGTTAGACAAACACTTGTCAGGGATGGTCTAGATAATACTTAGTTCTGTTATGAATGCAGGGGACTGGACTAGATGACCTCTCAAGGTCCCTTCCACACCTATGATTCTATGAAATGGAGATAAAGCAACCTGAAGGGTAAAATTAGGGACCGAAAACCTACAAAATTTGTGTGGAGGCCGAAGACCTGCCTCCATAAGTAGGACTCGGAGGTGCTGCTCTCTGTCCATAAGGATCCTGGGGTGAAAACCCTTACAGATTTTACAGTGGTCTCTGAGATGCCCCTCGTCCAGACACTTAAGGCATGACAAGTGCGGGTCACTTCTTGGCATAAACCTACCACAGTCCAATCATGGTTTAAAGCCCGGAGACCAAGGCATACCATGGTGCCAGGGAAAAATGTCGGAGAGAAAGACCCCCCAAAGGAAACTTGTAAGAAAACCCACACTAACTATAAACTACTGTGCTGCTAAATCTAACTAAGTACATGAGGAGAGAGATACTGCAAAGCACGCACTTGTCGAGGCAAGAGCGGTAGGGAGTTCCAGCTAGCCATCACAGGTGGTAAGAAGGAACTGAGTGGAGGTTGGGTCAGCAGGGCCCTATATTGGGCGCCATGAAGGCATGACTCCAGAGGGCTCCCAGGCCAACTCTATGGATACTGCTAGGGGAAAAATCTTCCAGCTGTCGTGCACGCAGCACGCACACACCTGATTGGAACTGACATGAACAAACACTTGAAGAACCACCTGCATTTCTCCAGTTTACTTATGAGAATGTCATGTGGGACTATGTCAAAAGCCTTGCTGAAGTCCGCTTGTACTATGTCCACCGCATTCCCCCTATCCACCAAACCAATTACCTTGTCAAAGAATGAAATCAATCTGGCTTGGCATGATTTGTTCTTCGCAAATCTATGTTGGCTGCTAGTGATCACCCCTTCATCCTCCCTATATTTGCAAATTGTATATTTTGTATATTGCTCTAGTTAGCTTCCCAGGTATTGAGGTCAGGCTGACTGGTCTACAATTTCTATAGCTCCTCCTTTCCCCCCTTTTTAAAGATGGGTACTACATTAGCTTTCTCCAGCTCTCCAGGACCTCTACTGTCATCCATGAGTTTGTAAATATTATTGCCAGTGGCTTTGAGATTTCTTCAGCTAATTCCTTCAGCACCCTGGGATGAACAGGATCAGGCCCTGCTGACTTGAATTAATTCAATTTAGTCAGAAGATCTCTGATGTGTTTTTTACTTATCCTGAGCTGCGTCCCTTCCCTTTTATCGTCTCTACTAACTTTGTTAGTCTTCCGGTCATGTTATTTTTTTGTGTGAAGACTGAAGCAAAGTAGGCACTGAGCAGCTCCATCTTATTATCATCTGTGGTTACCAGCTCACCTTCTCCATTAAGCAGCAGACCCACGCCATCCCTGATCTTTCTTTTTTGTATGACATATTTGTAGAAGCCCTTCTTGTTGTCTCTAACTTTTCTTGCCAGTTGCAACTCATTCCTTGCCTTGGTTTTCCTGATTTTGTTCCAACACACTCATGCTATTCTCATGTCCACTTCCTTAGTGACATTCCCCTCCTTCCATTTCCTCTGTGTATCCATTTGGGTTTTTAGATATCTAAAGGCACTTATCTCTTCTCTGAATAGGAATTACTTGATGTTGAGCTTCTAGTATTACATCTTTTAGGAAATGCCAACCCCCTTCAATTCCTTTTCTTCCTAATTGGTCTCTCTATGGAGTTGTGCCTACTATTTCTCGGAGTTGGTTGAAGTCTGCCTTTTTGAAGTCCAGTGTCCTTGTTCTGTTGTTCAAATGTCCTCCTTTCCTTAGGCTCTTGAATCCTATCAGATTATGATCACTTCCTCCCAAGTTCCCAACCACCTTTGTGTTCGCAACTAATTTATCCCTGTTGGTCAAAACCAGATCCAAAATGGATGACCTTCTAGATGTTTCCTCAACTTTCTGATATCCCCTACACATACAAAGAACTTACAGGATATATCCTGTAAGTATGGCCTACATTCTTTCTTCCCAGTTTTACACATTTACCCATATTAAAAAACACACACTGTTTGCTTGCGCCCAGTTTACCAAGTGAGCTAGATCATTCTGAATCAGTGACCTGCCCTCTTCTTTATTTACCACTCCCCCAGTTCTGGTGTCATCTGCAAACTCAGTGATGATTTTATGTTTTCTACCAAATAATTGATAAAGATATTAAATAGTATTGGGCCAAGATTTGATCCCTGGAGGACACCACTGGAAACAGACATGCTTCATGACAATTCCCTGTTGACAGTTACATTTTGAGACTTATCAGTTAGCCAGTTTTTAATTTATTTAATGTGTGCCATGGTAATTTAATATCATTCTATTTTTTCATCAAAATGTCATACAGTACCAACTCAAAAACTCTACAGAAGTCTAAGTATATTACATCAACACTATTACTTTTATCAACCAAACTTGTAATCTCATCAAGAAAAGATATCAAGTTAGTTTGACAAGATCTATTTTCCATTAATCCATGTTGATTTGCATTAATTCATTACCCCTCTTTAGTTCATTATTAATCAAGTCCCGTGTCAATCACTCCATTATCTTGCCTGGGAGCAATATCAGACCAAGAGGACTATAATTATCCGGGTCACCCAGTTTATCCTTTTTAAAAACTGGAACAACATTAGCTATCTTCCAGTATTCTGGAACTTAACCAGACATATTGAAAATCAACATTAATGGTCCAGTTAGCTCCTCAGCTACCTCTTTTAGAACTCTTGATGCAAGTTATCTGGACCATCTGATTTTAAAATGTCTGACTTTAGTAGCTTCTGTTTAACATCCTCCAGTCATACTAGTCATACCATCAGCATGTGACGAGATTGCATCAGATGTTTAACATCCTCCAGTCATACTAGTCATACCATCACCGTGTGACGAGATTGCATCAGATGTTTTTTCCCCCCAAATACAGAAAAGAAATGTATTGAACATTTCTGCCTTTTCCGCATTATTGATAGTTCTACCACTTCCATCTAGTAAAGGACCAATATCATTGTCAGAATTTAAAAACACCTTTTTATTGTCCTTGATTATGCTGGCATATGTTCTCCTTGTGTCCCTTGGCTTCCCTTATCAATAGTCTACAATTCTTAATTTCTGATTTATAGTCATTACTATCAACTGTGTGCACACGTGCATGTGTGGGCGCATTTACAGCTACCTTCACTTCCCCTCTAATCCAAGTTCTATTTTTAACCAGCATAGCCTTCTTCCTTGATCATGGGATTGTGGTTTTGGGGCATCTAGTAAGGTGTTCTTAAATGATTCTCAATTATCATTCATATTTTCCTGATTAAATTCTTCCTCCTAGTTGATTTGGTCCATAATTGTTTTCAGCTTTGTGAAATAGTCCAGATAAGACTTAGTCCTGCCTCAGTGCAGGGGACTGGACTAGATGACCTACTGAGTTGCCTTTCAGTCCTACATTTCTATGATTCTATTCTTACATTTGACCGTACTAGTCTTCCAACAGATATCAAGGAAGTTAAAATTCCCCATTAATACTAGCTCGTGTGTGTTAGCTAATCTTGTTACCTATTTGAAGAATATCAGAGGGGTAGCCATGTTAGTCTATATCCACAAAAACAATGAGGAGTCCGGTGGCACCTTAAAGACTAACAGATTTATTTGGGCTTTCGTGCATAAAAAGCCCTTCTCTTCATGTGCCAGTATATTTATGCCTGCATCCGTAATTTTCACTCCATGCATCTGAAAAAGTGGGCTTTTTATGCACAAAAGCTTATGCCCAAATAAATCTGTTAGTCTTTAAGGTGCCACCGGACTCCTTGTTATTTGAAGAATGTCTCATCCACTTCCTCTTCTTCATTTGATGGTCTATAACAGACTTCCACAATAACATCACTACTATTCTTTTCTCTTTTTAGCTTCATTTTTGTTAGTTATACTCACTTATTCTGTTGTGTTAACAGAGGCTATGTCTACACTACTGTGATAAGTCGACCTATGCTATGCAACGCCAGCTATGTGAATAACGTAGCTGGAGTCAACATATCTTATGTCAAGTTACCATGGGGTCTACACCGCAGGGGGTTGACAGCAGAAACTCTCCCGTCGACTTACCTTACTCTTCTTGTCGGGGGTAGAGTACAGAGGTCAACTGGAGAGTGATCTGCTGTTGATTTGGTGGGTCTTCACTAGACCCACTGAATCAATCACCGGTGGATTGATCTCAGAGCTTCGATACTGGCTGTAGTGTAGACCTAGCCTTAGAATCTAAGCTCTTTGGGACAGCAAGTATCTTTTGCTTTTTTGCACTTCCCAGCACAATGGGGGCCCACTATGACTGGGACCTCTGCATGCTACTGTAATACAAATACACTAACAGGTACAGCAGAGACTGGGTATATTTAAAACCCATTAGCTTTATTCTGTATTGTGTCCCTCCTCACAAAGACAAAACTAGCAACAGCTACTTGAACACTCACGTGAGAAAATGAGGATGATTCTTCACCGTTTCCTCTAGCTTCTCCAAAAATGTCATATCTGTGGCATCCCCAGGTCTCAGACACTCCTCATCCTATAGAGAGAGAAATCAGCAAACACAGCAATACTTGTACTAGAGAGGCTGCCTAATTCACTCACATAATAAACAACTGCTGGGTTGAAAAGGAGAATTTTTTTCTTCCTGGAGACTAGTTAGACTTTTAGATTCTTTCCGGCCAGCAGAAGAAGACAAGTACGGTTTGACTTTTGGTGAGAGGTGGTCTCCCTATGTACGAAGAACTTGCCTGCTCCCACAGTTCAGTTGAGTTTTCAAGAGCAGAACAATTAAAATCTGACCATAAAATGAAGTCAGATCAAGCTCTGAAACTCTAATCTATGTACAGAATTGATTCTAAAAAAGAAAGGAATTTAGACTGGTTTAGGAGGTCTCAAAGAAAGAAACTGATCAGGTTTGCCCTTCAGTTTTCTGTGCCAGTTAAGCAAGAATATATAACATTATTATTTAGAGCTAGTATTACAGCAGTGCCCGTAACTGTAATAAGTGCCCCATTTTGCTTGTAAAAATACACAAAAAGACATTTCCTGCTTCAATTGCTGACAACCTAAGAATACAAGTGACCTCCAAAGGGAGAAGAGGAAAACAGTTAAATATATACAGTTTCTATACACATTTACATGTTTTTGTTTTTTATAAATAGATAAAGCAAGATCTACTTATCCTCAACTGCCACCTAACCTACCTATCACTAGTTGGCTGGTTGCTTTGCATTCAGAACAGCAATACAGGAGGGGGTTTAGCATCCAACAACAGCCTGCAAAATGCTCCTACTGAGCCCTGCTTAACTGGCATGAGTACATTATTTATAGTGTTTAGAGAATATATCTGCAGCAAAGCCCTGGTAGTTGCTTCACAAGTTTGCAGTACAGGATGATGCCACTGAACTAGTAGAGGACACTAAGGCAACTCAGAAGTTCTCTAGAATTGAAAATACCAGTACAAGGATGCTACCTGAAGCAAGCTTGCTGTTTTGTTTCCTTCCTTTTTGGGGGATGGAAAAATGCAGACCCAGTGAAGACACATTGTCCCTGGGGGTCTTCTTTAAAAAAAAAAAAAAAGAGGGTCTTAATTTTAGAATTAAGAAGTTCACTGCCTTCAAAGTAAAGGTCCTTGGTTGTTATTTGTTCCTCCCTGGGGATTTCCTAGGACTGGAGCCAGGGAGACCACCTCATTGTCACCAATATAGCCACAGTACACAACGTGGTGTCAGACATATCCAGTGCAGCCTATAGGGAAGTGTGGGCTATCCAATGCCCCTCAGTCATAATGGCTCTCAGCTCCTCTCAATGGTCCTGTGGTAGCTTGTCCAGAAATGGAGACAGCTTATCCCAGCTCCAATGGAGAGGAGAGCCTGATAATTAGCCACACACACATCTGGTGGCTGACTAATGAATAAACCTTGCACGAGATAAGGTCTAGTTTCTTTGGGTCCGGCTCTAGGAGGTATTTGTTATTTTTGACCTTTCCTTGACAGCAGCCACTACAAGCAAATGTAGTACTGGGAGGGAATAAAAGTATTCAAATCCCTTGGAAGGAACATGGTACCTTCCTTCTGCTCGCTTGGATGTCACTAGCGTCAAGGCTGGTGTATGCCATAGGTCCTATGTCAGCTCCAGTGGTCTTTCATTAATTGGCATGGGGAGCCTGTTTGGCAAGGAAGGGTGCGAAATATCCAGGATCTCGTGGGAATTTGGCTGCATTACTTCTAGTGGTATATCCACTATCTCTGCCATGTGTTTAATGAGCTCTTGGAATAATTTAAGATCATCCACTAAGGAAGACATAGAGAGGCTTACTGCCTCATCGGGGGAGGATGAGATCACAGCAGGAACAAGTTGTTCTTCCCCTTGTGGGGTTGTTGTTCCTCATAATTTTCCTCCTCCTCCTTTCTTTCCAGGACCTGGGGCTTCACTAGTTGGCCTGACTAGGATGGTCCATATTGTGTCTTTGAAGAGGGGAGGTCTAACCCTGGAAGGGGCAGATGATGCAGGCTTACACGAATACGGCTGTACACCCAAGTGTGTCCAGTAGAGACAGTGTTGGTAGGGATATAAGTACTGAGGTGGGAGACACACAGGAGGGTACCAAGATAAATGTTTCTTATGAGTCCAGGTATTCTCCTACTTTCCTTTGTAGAATCCTCCCTCGCGTGCCTTCCTGGTTCCCAATATGGTACCCCAGGGGGGAAGGCGAGTGTGTGGGAGATGTGTCTAGATGGGGATGAGGAGAAAGCGAGTGACCATTCTATCCAGAGTGTCCTGCATATAAAGGGAGAAGTTGGTACTGGAGATACCTCCCTGACTTGCTGTACCAACAGTGCAGTAGTTGGTGGCTTAGATATCACCATCCTCAGCCTCTCTAGGAGAGGCAGCTGTAGTGTCAGGCCCAAAAGTCTCTCTGTACTCTGTATGCTTTGGGTACCAAGACAGCAAGTATTGCTGGGTACTGAAGAACACGGTTCTGAGGTGAGCAGTTCCCAAGGCTCTGGGTATTGAGAGAAAAAACAGTCTGCAGATATGGTGGGTGCAACTGGGGCTCTCTTAGTAGTCTGTACTGGGGCATTTCACAGGACCTTTTCAGACTTTTGGCCCTTAGGAGGTTGAGCCTGAGATGAGTCAGAAGTCTGATGATGCTTGTATCTTGACTTGCCAGGCATCTGAGAAGGGGACCTTGGCGCATCCTTTCTCCCATCATTCCTTCCTGTCAGAAGACTGATGCCAGAATGGAGATGGATGACTGGGGTCTCTTAATAGATGTGACCCAAGAGCTCAGGGTGGAATCTTAGCTCACAAGGCCACTAATGGAGAGGAACTGATCAGAGGACCATAGACTGGTTTTGACCTACGTCTCAGTGTCTGAGAAAGCGTGTTTTGAACTCTTGAGGAGGAACTACTTCTGGTGGGCTTCTCTAGCATGCCGATTGTGCTTAGAGAAAAACCAACATATGGAATATTGCTTGGGGGTATGTCCCTCTCCTAGGCTGAGCAGGAACTGGGAATACCAGTTGTTATGCAGCATTGAAACTTAATGAGAGGCAGGTTTTGAACCCTGATGATTTAGCTTCTGCCATATTGCTAGCATCTTTGTGGGGGGGAGGGGGAGAGGGGTGGTATAGGTCTACCTACACTGAAACTTATCTAAGAAAAATTATATATAAAGTATTAGCCAACAGGCAATAACTATATGAACTAGCTAACCACTAAAGTTGCTAACTAATACCAGCACAGTGAATAGGGAAGTGGACACTGCAGAGATTCTGTCTCATTGCCACAAGCGGTAAAAAGGAACTGAGGAATAGTTGTGCCTGCTCTGCCCTTTATGCCTTTGGACCGGGAGGGAGGACAGTCCAGGACATCTAGAGTGCAGGTACTGCCCAAGTGGATACTGCTGACCAAAAGAATCCAATCTTGCATTCATGGGACACACGTGCAGCAAGAATGGAACCCATGAGGACAATCACGCGAACCTGTAGCAGGAGCTGAGCAATGTTGTAGCCTGCGTTTCCTTGGCTCCCCTCTCCCATCCCAGTCACTTCAGTGGGAGAATTCCTCTCCCATCTTCACAGAAGGAACAGCAGCTAGGTTTCGGGAGGGGAGCCAGGCAAATCCATTTTGCCACTTAGTTAAGCTGCCACAGTGGCTGCTCTCTCTCACTGCTACTGGGAGCAGGAGATCAAAGATCAGGTGGCTACTTTGGTGGTCACTCACTCTGCTTCTTCTGAACAGCATTCACACACCACTATGGCTGTATTATTTTTACAACCTGAGAGTTGGAATAGCAAAATTAAAAATAGGGCTGTCAAGCAATTAAAAAAATTAATCATGATAAAAAAAAATTGCGATTAATCACGCTGTTAAACAACAATAGAATACCATTTATTTAAATATTTTTGGATGTTCTCTACATTTTCAAATAAATTGATTTCAATTACAACACAGAATACAAAGTGTACGGTGCTCACTTTATATTTATTTTTATTACAAATATTTGCAATGTAAAAAAGAAACCAAAGAAATAGTATTTTTCAATTCACCTAAGTACTGTAGTGCAATCTCTTTATCATTAAAGTTGAACTTACAAATGTAGAATTCTGTACAAAAAAAGTGTACTCAAAACCAAAACAATGTAAAATTTTACAGCCTGAAGTCCTCTCAGTCCTACTTCTTGTTCAGCCAGTTGCTCAGACAAACAAGTTTATTTACATTTGCAGGAGATAATGCTACCTGCTTCCTGTTTACAATGTCAACTGAAAGTGAGAACAGGCATTCGCCTGGCACTGTTGTAGCCGGGGTCGCTAGATATTTCTGTGCCAGATGCGCTAAAGTTTCATATGTCTCTTCATGCTTCAACCACCATTCCAGAGGACATGCATCCATGCTAATGACTGGTTCTGCTCGATAACAATCCAAAGCAGTATGGACCGACGCATGTTCATTTTCATCATCTGAGTCAGACGCCACCAGCAGAAGGTTGATTTTCTTTTTTGGTGGTTCGGATTCTGTAGTTTCTACATCAGAATATTGTTCTTTTAAGACTTCTGAGAGCATGCTCCACACCACGTCCCTCTTAGATTTTGGACCGCACTTCAGATTCTTACACCTTGGGTCAAGTGCTGTCGCTATTTTTAGAAATCTCACATCACTACAATTCTCCCCCAAGGAGTTCAGTCACAAACTTAATTAATGCATAATTTTTTTAACGAGCATCATCAGCATGGAAGCATGTCCTCTGGAATGGTGGCCAAAGCATGAAGGGGCATATGAATGTTTAGCATATCTGGCACGTAAATAACTTGCAACGCTCACTACAAAAGTGCCATGCAAAATGCCTGTTCTCACTTTCAGGTGACATTGTAAATAAGAAGCAGGCAGCAGTATCTTCCGTAAATGTAAACAAACTTGTTTGTCTTAGCAATTGGCTGAACAAGAAGTAGAACTGAGTGGACTTGTAGACTCTAAAGTTTTACATTGTTTTGTTTTTGAGTGGAGTTATACAAAAAAAATCTACATTTGTAAGTTACATTCATGATAAAGAGGTTGCACTATAGTACTTGTATGAGGTGAATTGAAAAATAGTATTTATTTTATCTTTTTACAGTGCAAAGATTTGTAATAAAAATAATAATATAAAGTGAGCATTTTACACTTTCTATTCTGTGTTGCACTAGAAATCAATATATTTGAAAATGCAGAAAAACATCCAAAAATATTTAATAAATTTCAATTGGTATTCCATTATTTAACAGTGTGATTAATTACAATTAATTTTGTTAATCATGATTAATTTTTTTTTAGTTAATCACATGAGGTAGCTGCAATTAATCAATAGCCCTAATTAAAATCTTTTGCAAAAAAAAGTTCTCTTGACTATAGGCGCTCTGCTCAGAATCCCCCTTCCCCGCAACACAGGACATTCTTAGTCAGCCAGTTTAAAGGGCCCAGGGGGGAAACTTTGGTGTATTCAGGCATTTGTTTTCTGTTTTTCTTGGGAGGTTCTTGTTTCTTCTATACTCTCAGATGTGGTTAATGGGAAATTTATTTGTGCATATGCATTGTATGGCATTATAGATATACCCCAATAAAAATATAAGTTAAAACAGTTTTGCTTAAAAAGAAGCTTCTATCTTATTCAGTGTAAAGCTCTTAATGAACAGTATTGTGTGGTTAGAAATGCCAGCAAATGCAAAAACATGCATGGAAGACGGTTAGCCTCTGGGTCTACCACACATGGTTCATACCCAACACTAGGCTCTACTCACTTCTCTACCTCCCTCTGCAATCTTCACACTCCCACAAACAACCTGTACACCAGCCTCCACTTCCTTTTCACCTATGACTAGTCACTTCCCATTATGCTCCTAAATATCTTCAATTAAAAATAAATACAGGTTTGTCAACTCACCAAAATAGAAATTATGCCTTTGAATTTCTCTTCCACCAGATCACAAATGATTTTGTTATTGAAATACTGGACAGGTTCCCACTGCCATTCACAAAGAGACACACACAATTAAAGACAGGTTAAAGATCTTGATTCTGCACTGGAAGGAAATAGTCTCAGTGATCAGTGTATTTCAGAGGATAGAAAATATTTAAAACAGTCTTCCTGAGGCCCACATGTCAAGTATGAAAGATACCGGTACATTTCTTTCTTAAATATACATTTATTTTTCTGATCTGTTTTTTTTGTTTGTTTGTTTGTTTTGCCAGAGAGAGGGTGAACATCTTTGTCCCATCACAGTCAAAAGGAAAGGGGAAACCTATGCAACCAAGCTCTCTATTCTGAAATATGGCTGTAGCGGACAGCCTCCCTCTCTAGAATAAGTCTGACTCAAATACACTAGGCAGTTGCAACTAGAAATATAAAACCTTATATTATGGAACTCAACTAATATAGACCTGGGGTTCTTGTTCCTGCTATGCATATGCCACACAAAAAGACTGACTATTCCTGAAACCAAACCCCCTCAAATGAAATATTTATCTTTGTTCCAGGTCATCACTGAGTCCTGTTGTCACAGTTTCTCATCTTTCATTCAGATTTGTGAGAGGTAGTCTCCCTAACAAATAGCAGCCGATCTCTGTGGTTGCTGCTCTGAAAAAGGTCTCCAAATTCTGAACGCAGGATTCAAGAGAAAGAACCTCTTCAGAAACTGGGAACCAGGCTACTCACAAAATATATTTAGTTGGTGATAGTAACAAACAGGTCAGGGAGGAGCAGAGAAATTTCTAAAGGGCTGTCTTACAGCATCCTTATTCTCCTATCTATCTGGGTTCTTCTGTAGAACCCATCAGTGTAGCATCTGAGTGCTTTGTAGCCAGTACCAGGTACCTGCACACAATCTCCAGACAGTAAGTAAGCAGAGAATCCACCACAGACGCTTCTGCTATTTCTTAATTATATAACTGCATGGATCCCAACAGTAGCTCATAAAAGATCAAACGCAACTCAATCACCATTCTGCCCTTCCTACAAGCCTTGCTTGGAAGGCTGAAAGGCAGGAGTTTGGGTTTTGCTGAAGCAAGGCTTCAGCAAGAAGAAAACAGAACAATTTTCCATAAATAAATTGATAGGATCTACATTTTCTGGCAGCTAAATGTCAAAGGGCCACAATGTCATGTGGCATTCTTGACAGGACAAGAATTCATGGATTAATTCTGATGTTTGATCGCCTCCAAGTTACAAATGCAATAGCTGTGAGCAAAACTGCAGGACTTTCAGTGCCAAACACACAGCTTCTAACCCAGCAAGCTACAAGATAACTTTCCTTAGCTGAGAGCAGAATTAAGATTTTTATGCGTTGTATAGACAAAGGACTACAGAACAAGATAATCACTAATGCTGGAACAGGTCTAGTTCTAATCTGAATGGGTTTTGCTTGAATAAATACTATCACCTGTGAGCAGGTGATTGCATGTGCAAAAACAGAGCCCAGTTTGAAGCCCCTTTTGTGTGAAGCAGTTCTTGTGGATCACACACAGACAAATAAGGCGAAAATAAATATTTATTTCCAAATTCTTGCTTTACATACTGTAAATTATTATCAGCTCCCTTTAATTAGCAGGCCTCTCCCAATAGGACATGCTACAGAGGAAACAATACAAAATGAGGTCTTGGCTCTTACCGCTATGCCTTCTGACTCATACTCCTCTTGTTCTGATTTTAGTGTGAGTTCTATGAAGAGCTGCTGCAGTTTTTCATTACAATAATTGATACAAAACTGCTCAAAGCTGTAAACAATCAGAAAGAATTAGTCACTCCCACACTGTATTTCAATAAAACAAAGTCTGCACCATTTTGGTCAGGCACCATGCATAATCTGGGTACAAATCAAGAGAGAGATAAGCAAGAGATCTAGAGACTCATATGAGCTCTAAAGAGATGAACCAATGAATAGTCAGATTCGCCCCAGAAGAGAGAAAGAGCCATCAGAGGTAAGCAAGGAGGAACATGGGTTCAGCAGACATAAATAAAGGCCTATCTACACTAAAAATCCAACAATGGATATCTGCCATAGTTAGGTTCCAGGCTCCAATAAAATTCCATAAAATAATTCTATATTGTGTTCTCTCATTCACACTACAACAAAAATGTGTTAGGAGGAGGAAACCCATACCACACAACTACATGCTGGTGTGATTACAGCTGTCATGTAGACAGGCTCCAAGATGGGCAAAAATCAGTTTCACATCCTTGAAAAATTAAGATGATAAACAGTAGTGAATGCTGAGTTCTAGCAGGGTCCCAACTAGGCACAGCGGTCCCTATCTAGAGATGTTAAAAATAGGCCTCTCGCTCAGAAGGCGTTTGCCTACTGCTATCAGGTATTTTGTTGATTTCCTGAAGCTGAGACCTAATCTCATGTTACATAAACCTCTCCTATTAAAAAAGTGCCAGGCTTTTTTAATGTTTTAATGTTGAGGGAAGGAAATGAAACAACAGGATTAAATCACAGGAAACAAGGTTATTCAAAGTTCAAAGACGTTGAGGTGAAACAAACCTATTGTGCTGGAAAACCTCAAATCCATAAATGTCAAGCAGCCCTAGAACTGTTGCGCTCCTCCAGCCTGGGCACTCTGCCTCCTGTAACAAAGACACAAAATACTCTGTCACATTTGGTGTAGCTTTAATCATTAGGCTCAAAAGCAGTTGCCAACCTCCACTGCTATCTTCCCATATAATTCTAGTGTCTGGTCCTCACTCCTCTCAGTGAGAGAGGAATGCAGTCAGAAAATCATTGTTCAGTATTGAGCTGAACCTCTTCCCTGCTTCCTAGTTCAACCATTTGAACTCACACTTCCCACCCACTTAGTAGCACAGTCTATAGTATGATCACGGGAGTGCAAGTGAGAGAGAAATTTACCTTGTAGGCAAGAGACTTATTAATCTTATTCACTAGCCAGGAGAAGGTGCGCCCATATACTGCCTTGGCTAGAGCATCTCGTGCATAGGCTGCCTGCTCCAAATTCAGAGGACTGACCAACTGCATGTGGAAGAAGAGACAAGACAAATTCGAACAGTCAGCCCACTGAGCAATGCAGTCTTCGTAACACAATACTAATAACTAGCTGTGCACACATCACAATCTCCCAGCAGTACTGGTTACTAGTCACAAGTAGGTTACATGAGACCAAGAAACGCAGAGATAGTTTCCTCTCAGAGAAATCTGTAACCGGAAGGTGAACTGTTTAACCTGATAACAAAGCAGCCTATATTAACTAGCTTCAGTTCTGGATGTCTCCCAATTTACCAGTTCATGTTCTCACCTCTTCCCCTTTTGCTATGATCGTCTTGTGGATCAATGCTTCCCGGAGCACAGAGCCCTCAACCCCCAGGAGCTGCAAACCACCAAAAGGAAAACTCAATTAGAGAAAGTATTATTAATTTCACATCTGTTTTAGAGACATCAGAAACTTTAGCCCCACAGCTAATGCAGTCCCGCTCTTCACTGATTAACACATCCTGTCCACTGCTGAGATACACAGTGATTCATTCCTCATTCTAGTAGGCACATGCACTCAACAGAAAGATAGGTGACTGGACATTACTGGTTTACCAGGACCATTCCAGCAGAATGCACAGAAAAAATCTGTTACCCACGTTTCATAACTGTTCTTTGATATGTGTTGCTCTTATCCATTCTATTCTAGGTGCGTGCGCACTCATGTGCACAGTCGTCAGAAACTTTTGCCTTAGCAGCATCCACAGGGTCAGCTGTGACGCCCTCTGAAGTGCTACGTTCATGCATCGGTATGTAAGGCACCGTCGGCCCTATGCCCTCTCAGTTCCTTGAACCACCTTGCCTTGCAATTGGGACTGAAAAGCTTGGCACGCCAGGCAAACCGCCCTGAGCTCCTTGGCATTTATGTGAAGGGAGCAGTCAATCCCTAACGAGCGGCCTTGAGTACTGAGATTCCCTAGGTGGGCTCCCCATCCGAGGTCCAAAGTGTTGGTCATCAGAGTCAGCGACGGGGACAAGCCCACAAAGGGAACTCCCTGCAAGACCGACACAGGGTCCAGTCATGACACCAGAGATGCCCAAACGTGGTTTGGCACTTTGACTACCAAGTCTAGGTCGTGTCTGTTGGGGATGTACACTGATGCCAACCATGCCTGCAACAGCCGGAGATGGAGCCGGGCACATCGAACCACATAGCTGCAGGCCACCATATGACCTAACAACTGTAGACAGGTATGGGCAGTAGTAAGGGATGATCCCTTACATGGGATATTATCGCCGACATGGCTTGGAAGCGGGACTCTGGGAGGAATGCTCTTGCCCTCATGGAGTGCAGGAATTGGGTAAAATTTTAAACCTGTTAACCTCTGACCTTAATTATTTCATACAGAAAAGTGACCCTTTAATAGTGTCAAGATCTAATAACTACTAAATCTTACCCTGGAGTAATACAAAAGCAACAGAACCAATTACACTGGTATATGGGAATGTCTCCAAGGGTTTATACTCACCCTAGCCAGATATTTAATCTGGTTCTCTGTGGTCACCTGAGCATTGCCCTGTTCATCGGCAGCAAACTGCACATTCCCCAGGTGCAACACACTAGCGACAATGCTCAGTAAATCCTAGTACAAGAGAAAGAAGAAATAATGGTCAAGAAGATGGGAATAAATATGGATCAAATCTTAGGTGGGATGGGGGGGAGAAAGGGGAGTTTCTTTATATGTCCATCAGTAGGAGACATTTTTACATTTAGCTTTCTGCAGGGCACTCATTCAAAGGCTGCCTCCTGGCAGAAAGAACTAACTGAAGCAGGACAGACCTCTAAGGGGAGAAAACTCAGATGTACTTCAAGCCATTTCCTACCTCTACCTCATTGTCGTTGAAGTTAATGACGGACAGGGCCCTTCGCACAACCTTCCAGTCATTTTTATCACTGATGGAACTGACCCTGGCACACTGACCCTAAAAAACACAGATTCTGAGATTTAGTAATCCTTGCAGCCTGACGCATTGTACATACAGCCCACATAGTTCTATCTTGTGTTAATTGTTACAGAAGGGGCCATCTCACCAATATCTTTATAACTCTGTGAAGTCATAGAATCATAGAATATCAGAGTTGGAAGGGACCTCTGGAGGTCATTTAGTCCAACCCCCTGCCCAGAGCAGGACCCATCCCCAACTAAATCATCCCAGCCAGGGCTTTGTCAAGCCTGACCTTAAAAACTTCTAAGGAAGGAGATTCCACCACCTCCCTAGGCAACGCATTCCAGTGTTTCACCACCCTCCTAGTGAAAAAGTTTTTCCTAATATCCAATCTAAACCTCCCCCACTGCAACTTGAGACCATTTCTCCTCGTTCTGTCATCTGCTATCACTGAGAATAGTCTAGATCCATCCTCTTTGGATCCACCTTTCAGGTAGTTAAAAGCAGCTATCAAATCCCCCCTCATTCTTCTCTTCTGTAGACTAAACAATTCCAGTTCCCTCAGCCTCTCCTCATAAGTCATGTGTTCCAGACCCCTAATCATTTTTGTTGCCCTTCGCTGGACTCTCTCCAATTTTTCCACATCCTTCTTGTAGTGTGGGGCCCAAACCTGGACACAGTACTCCAGATGAGGCCTCACCAATGTCGAAAGTAAGGGAAAGATACTGAGAAGTAATAAACTAAGAATCACATCTATCCTATAATACAGGATAGTTGGTAATGATCATCATTATTAAACTTTCACCCAGAAAGTTACTCTCTCCTTACAGATCAACACTCTGATCTCTCCTTCAACACCAACAAAGTCTATCACGTAAGGATAGTTTTTCCCTTTACTGAACATGCAAACCAGGAAATTAGCAAACTGCAGGACCCTGGTCACACCTTCACTAGATAATGGTACTGTTGGGGGTTCTTCTCAAGGCCCAGACGCCGCAGTAGGTCATCTTCCCCTCCCTCTAACAGCTGGTAGAAGATGTGAAAGTTCCTCTCTCCATGATTCTGATGGACAACCCGAGATTTCTCCAGTAGGTAGTTCAGGATATGACCCCCCACAGGTGCACCCTAAACCAAAGAAGATAAATTGAAACATCCTGCTTCTTTGATGGCAGAATATCAAAGACTAAGAGTTTGGAATAATGGGTCACAAAAAGTAGAAGTAATCTTTGTCATGTAATAGCATAAACTAACAAATACTCAGTGTGGGTTTGAGCTCTTGGACTTCCACAGAGTAGATCGAACACAAAGTATTAGAGAATAAAACTCAAAATATAAAACCATTACACAGATCAATATTACAGCTCACCTTGAATGTGTTCACTGCTGGTCACTCCATCACAAAAATCTTATATATGTCTCTTGACATGGATTCCATCCATGCCTCTAATAATTTTGTTGCTCTTCTCTTGTCCTTTTTCATTTCTGCTATATTAGAAACAAGGATGGAGTCCAGGGTCGAGAGATATTTAAAAGATTAGGATGATTTCTGTCTATCTAGGTTTTTACACTATGTTAATTCTCATGGCATTGTGGTATTTACTTTAGAAAGGAAACAAACAAAATACACAAGATAAAGCTATATACAATAATTCTATACAGAAAACTAAGGTTGCCTCTGCAATCTTAATTCTGTCCCTTTGTGCATATTCATAGTCTTTAATTTCTTTTTCCCACATTCTCCCCCCCTCCCCAAGGCCCCATTATCCTCCATATTTTTATATATATATCTATATATATATAAATGGAGGTGATTTAGTTAATGCTGTGTTCTAATATGGGCTAAAATGGAGCAGAGATTCTTATTTTTCTCTAAAAGTAGGTGCCCAACTGATGTCAGATTTTTCACTGGATTAATTTTTATGCCATTTGAACTTTGTGTAGTTTTGATTTGGTTTCTCTTATTGTGGTAGGAAAACTTTGAATTTGGGCCCTGGCTGAAATCTTGCCTGGGCAGTCCTACTTTTCACTATTGACATATTTCCTACAAAACACTGACTAGCTATTCATAGTTTGGTAGAGAGGTGGCCCTGAAGAGAAAGGGTGTAATGGGAAGGTTTTCTAAAATGTTTAGTTTAGGGTAATTTTTAGCTATTATTTGCATTATAACTGAAAGTTTGTGAGCTGTGCCTACAAGTAGGATTAGTTGTTGATGGGAGCTGGACACGCACAAAACCGATAGATAGCACACCAAACCTTCCACATAATGAGCTACACTTTTCTCTCAGAGTTTACCCTACAACAGAGAACGGTTCACGCTCAGCTGCTGGCGGATAAAATATTCTCCTGCCACACTTCTACCTTGTCTCTCTAATATCCCGGGATCACCACAACTACAACACTGCAAACACACTTCTACCTCCACAGATCTTCCTCTCTCTCCTCTCCGCCAATAATACCCACCCCCAATTAAACTTTAAAAAACTCCATGGCATTAATACATACACAAAAATTCGCTAGAAGCTATGAGGGTTGCTGCACACACCACATACTTGAAACAAACCCACAAAGGCAAGGGAAGGAGAAGTTCAACTACCTAACAGTAAATACCTTACCACTGCCACTACAACCATACACTGCAACCTTAACTCTTCCCCCCTTAGGGATACGAGCCTCTCATCACCTCCTTTAATAACCATTGTGCACACAACCCTTTATTAAACTACCCTCCCCTCAGCACAACCAACTACTGCACTACACATCCACAATCACTAGGGTTGGGAAAGGTGTTTGTGAACCAGGATGAAAACGGCGCAGTGTTATGGTCGTCGTGAATCATCTGTGGTGCACAGTACTTGTGGTAATGGTAAGGTGAGTGCTTGTGGGCGGAAGAACAGAGTCTCTGTACCTTTTGGCTTGACTTTTCACTTTCTTAACTTTCGTGTTTGTGTCAGGCATGCTGTGCCTGTAGCAATTCTAGCTGCTTCACAATGAAGTGTGTGTATCTATCCATCTATCTATCTATATATATATATACACACACACACAATTATAAATCTGAACAACTCTTTGTACCCAAACTTTTCTGAAACAGTAGACTTCATTCACAAGAGGCAGGTAGGGTTTTTACTATACCTGAACTGTTGATGCAGATCTCAATATCTATGTGCTTGGGCATCCAAGCAAGACTACAATGAGGTATATAAAACAGATTTTCACCTTGTAATCAAACTGCACATCCATGTATTTCCCAAATCGGCTGGAGTTATCATTCCGAAGGGTTTTTGCATTTCCAAATGCCTGAATTAAAAAGATAACAGATAAAAAAAGTAAACAGTCTTCAAAAACAAGGAAACCATAAAATAGGGCATTTTAAAATATTTTTCACTAACCTGCCAGTGGCTTATGTACTGGCCTACAGACACAGGTTTGTCTACCCCTGAGTGACATATGTTTTGCCAGCATAAGTGGTAGTGTGCACAGCACTATGTCAGCGGGACAGCTTTTCCTGCCAACATGCTACTGCCGCTCTTTGGGGGTGGTTTAATTATGTTGACAGGAGCGCTCTCTCCCATTGGCATAGAGCGGCTACATGAGAGATCTTACAATGGGGTAGCTGTACCACTGTAAGCTCTCTAGAGTAGATATAGCCTAAGAAGAAAGTAAGCAGCTACCTGAGTTCTGATTGTTTGAGCTGTACGCATACTGCAAATATAAAGTTATTACCTTGCATGGGCCTGTTAAACCACTCCTCTCCTCCTTGCAAAGATTTATCCTAATCCCACTCCCTGTTAGGAAAATGCGTCACCCGAAGAAGTCTTGCATCTTCCCCCATCACCAGTATGACTTAATAGGAACTCATTAGCCTGCACACAATGGTCACAGACCTCCCAGCCTTGCCCAAGCTGGCCAAACTTCTCCCTCCCACAGGCCCACACCCACAACATTGTTTTGAACGGGTGGTGGAAACAGTAAAGGGAACTGTAAGGATTGTACAGAACTGGACACTAGAGGTCACTATAACACCAGAAAAATGCAGCACCAAATACATATCTGTTGTAAATCAAAGACTGAGTTGCCACAATGCCAAGTTTCATATCCTGGACTTCAAATTACCTCTAAGACCGGATTGGACTGTAGGAGGCGATCTTTCACTGTTTCAACTTGGTCACTGGCTGGACATGTCACTGCATAGTACTGAAGGATTTTCTTGGTGGCTTCAGTTTTTCCAGCTCCACTCTCCCCAGATATCAGGATACACTGATCCTTCCTCTCAATGCGCAGGGAACGGTATGAGTTGTCAGCAATAGCATAACTAAGGAACAATGACAATTGGAAATTAAGTCTGCTTTCACAAACATGAAAGGCAGAGAATCCTCAGTTAGGCTTTTAGAGTTTCCACACCGTCACAATCACAACCAGAAGAAATGCCAACTCCAGCCCCAATATTCTAACGGTGCAAAATCCTAGAAAAGATGGCCCTTCAAGAATAGTATTTATATTGAGAAATTCTGATCCAAAGCTTCTATAATTATTGTTCACACCAGTTTTCTGGAGTATTTCATACACCAAGTCTTGTTTAAAAAATCAAGCTGGATCTTAGAATTTCAAACACATTCCTTGCAAAGAAAGGAGCATTAGCGAACAACAATTTCTTCTTTTGCTACTTAAGATTTTGCTGTGTAAAATGTAATTTATTATAGTTTAACAAATTCCTCTCCCCTCTCTATCCAAATTCCACTTCTGGGGCATTTCCCAAATCAAAACAGTTGAATAAATGTAAACTGTATTTTAGTTTTAGAGTTTGCCTCTGGACTGCATATTCTTATGTAGGGGTTTTATAACCCCCTTAAGTGAAAAGGAAAGGTCAACCGTACTGCATACCTTATATTTTGTGATGTATACCATTTATTTAGGGATGACTGCTGTCCACATTATTAATCACAGTCCCCTCCCCTTGCATGGTGACTCATCCTTACTTTGGATGGGGAAATTCTAGCCAGGATGTCTCAGTGTTTTCCCATTAACTGTAATGGCCCATAATTTGTCTCTTCCTGGGTAGTACAATGGTAGGTGCTTGAAACTAGTCTTGTCTGGCTGGGGTGGCAGTCCGTCCCTGCCTGGCTGACCACTGCCCTACTGTGAGGTAGAGGTAAAGGTAAAGCTTTACAAACTCAGTTCTCAATATACATAAATACATAAATTAATAAACACAGATTGTATACCTATCTCATAATGATTATTAAGTTCAGAACATTACAAGCTTTCAAAGAAGACCTTACTCAAAATTTTTGTACACAACCAGCTGATTAAATTGTTTCCTCTTGGGAGCTCAGACCCCCTGTTCTCTCTTTGGGGTGCCTGGACCCTGATTATCACAGACATATGCCAGGTTTCAGAGTAGCAGCCGTGTTAGTCTGTATTCGGAAAAAGAAAAGGAGTACTTGTGGCACCTTAGAGACTAACCAATTTATTTGAGCATAAGCCAGCATTTCAAGTCCATTGAGATAAACCTTTTTTCTTTTCAATGACTAGGTACTACAAACTCCACAGATAATCTGACTCAAGTGTTCCCACTAGCTTTAGGGTATTTTGATATTTGGATAGCAAGGTAGAATTGTTTTCATTTTATAAAGCCCATTTTTAAAAAAAAGGCTCAGAAAAATGGTCTGAATTGCTGCTAACAGTAATCGATGAAACAGCACACAGTCCAGTGCTTAAAATGAGTCTGTTTCCCATAACATTTAAAAATATTCAAATTATTTTCTGTGCAGCAATAATACCCCTAAAGGAGCTAGTCTGGAAATACCGTCTCCTGTATCAGGATAGTATTGGCAGTCCTTGCACTTCGGATTTACTGAGCTGTACAGTTACAATTTCTCATTGACTGGTTGCAATGAGGGTGAGAACTTTTTTTTCTTGGACTGTTTGAAAGAGGAATACTTTGCAGGGCACATCTTCCCTGGTACAATGTATAACTGAATAGAAGCAGAACTGGGTAATGCTCCAATACTTAAAAGGATTTGTTTAGTGCTGATAGAATCCTCAGTGTTGTACACTGCAAACAGATAAACAGCCCTTGTCCCCAAAATTTTACATTCTAATTAATGTATTGTGACGCGTCAGGCCAGATGGCTACAGGAGAGTGATACAAGGCAGATATATTAGCCCCAGGTTAAGTAGGTCCCTTTTCCCTGGGTAAGGTAACAGGGAAGGTTCCAGAACAATCAGGAACTTTCTGAAAACAATTAAGGGAGACAGGCTGATTAGAACACCTGCAGCCAATCAAGAAGCTGCCAGCATCAATTAAGACAGGCAGGCTAATCAGAACACCTGGGTTTAAAAAAAGGAGCTCACTTCAGTTTGTGGTTTGCATGCGAGGAGCTGGGAGCAAGAAGCTGAGAGTGAAAAGGTGTACTACTAGAAGACTGAGAAGTACAAGCATAATCAGACATCAGGAGGAAGGTCCTGTGGTCAGAATAAAGAAGGTGTTGGGAGGAGGCCATGGGGAAGTAGCCCAGGGAGTTGTAGCTGTCACGCAGTTGTTACAGGAGCCACTGTAGACAGCTGCAATCCACAGGGCCCTGGGCTGAAACCCAGAGTAGAGGGCAGGCCCGGGTTCCCCCCATCCCTCCATCCCCCCAGCTCCCTACTTAATACTGGAGGAGCTGACCTGCACTGTGGGTTCCACCAGAGGGAAAGGTCTCTGGCCTGTTTCCCGATCCACTAGATGGATCAGCAGAGACTGCGGGGATTGTTCTTCTTCCTTTTCCCCATGCTGGCCAGTGATGAGGCTAACTGAGTGACCGGCACATTTGAGTCACGAAAGTGGACAAACTGAGGGCTGCCATGAACCTCTGAGGCGAGCAAATCCACCAATGAGCGCAGGACCCACCAAGGTAGAGGAGGAACTTTGTTATAGTACGTATAGACAGGATTCTGGATTTTCCCAAGCAATCATGTTTCTAGCATCACCTCATCATGTTTGTAACATATTCCCATCTCACTTGCACTGTTGAGTCACCTGTCAACAACAGGAAACAGCCCAAATAGTTCTCCCTGTCCCTTCAAAGGTCTTTGGAAGAAAGAGTCTTCAAGAGGTATCTCAGGATTGGGCCCTGGCTCAGCGAGCAATTTGGTCAGCTAGGCTCACTCAGCTGTGTCCTCTCTCTCTCTCTCAAGCTTCAAAAATCTTTTATTTTAAATAGGAAATTGGGAACGTTCACCAGGCCATGTAAATAAATACATTCTTTGTTCCAATGGGCTCATGGTATCTTAGCAACAAGGGAAATACCAGATTAATATTGGTCAAGCAGTGACGGAGGAGGTAGGAAAAAAAAACATCACACACACACACCCCCTTTCCCTCAGTTTAGTCATAAACTGAATAAGCTGCTTAGCAGCAAAGGAAACTTAGAACCAGATCATCTGCACACTGAATAACCCTGGAACAATGAGGTCTCTGGTCCTGCCTAGGCTGGATCAGCAGCTCAGATTCCTCTGAGTCTCAAATCACTTGGCCAGTAAGGAATTAACTCCCTTTCCAAACAACACTCTCAAAGGCAACTCACTCTCTCTTTGACAGGTTTCAGAGCAACAGCCGTGTTAGTCTGTATTCGCAAAAAGAAAAGGAGTACTTGTGGCACCTTAGTTAGTCTCTAAGGTGCCACAAGTACTCCTTTTCTTTTCACTCTCTTTGGAAAGAGAAGCAGGAATAAAACAGCCAGCCTTTCTAAAGGTCCCTTTTGCCCCCACTCCAGTACTCTGTTTGGGAAGATGGAAGGGAAAAAAAAGTCTTGTATGTTTGCTTTCTGTAGATCAGTATTAAACCAGCCAGATGGGAATAGCACAAACCGTATTGTTTACCCACAGGCCACTCACAGGTGAGGAGAGACTTCATAGAAACTGACGCCACGGTATCGCTCCATGTGTTGTTTGCTGTAGATTTCCAGATCCTTGTATGGATTTACTGACACCAGAACTGAGCCAATGTAAGTCTGAAAAGAGCCGAAAGGAAAAGCATTACATGAAGGCTAGCATCTGTTTCTACAAGAGCCTTCAGAATTACTCTGGAATCCCAGATATTTTTACAAGGCCAGCCTGAAACAAGGGCACTTGGAATGCTGCTACCAGCTTTGAAGAGAGAGTGACTTGGGAGTCTGAAGAAACAAACAATCTTGCAGCCAGTAAATGTGGGGCTACAGAACTTATATTGGATGTGTCCCTTTTTCCGAAAATTTCTGCACTTACATCCTTTAGTGACTGCTTCAGTGCTTCTGGACATCCCAGCAATGCAGCTTCAGTACTGGGTTATTTTTGACTACTCATTCCAATATTTGGGATCAGAGCTAAGCTTGGGTTTGTTAAGACCACAACAGAATAGCTTTATGAAGTCGGAAGAATACAGTATGTGCTGGATTTTCAGTGGTGCCGGGCACTCAGAATTCCAGCGGAAGTTAACTGGAGCTGCAGATGCTCAGCAACCCGAAAATCAGGCCCTATATATGCCAACATGTCAGTAAACAGAACGGGTCTGAGAAACAGAATCATGGGCTATAAAAGGGGAGCTGGTGGACACCACCACATCCAGATCCCACACCTGCAGAACAAAATCACTATGTCCAGCTTTCAGAGCAAATATCCAAATTCTAGTCAAAGATCAGCACTCTGGCTGCTCTCTGCTACTTACATAGATCAGATTCTCCTTGAATCGTTTACGTAGGTTTTCAATAAAGGCTGCTTCGCTAGTAAAGTTCTCTAGCAGGACGAAATCCTGAACCCCCACACGGTCACGGGCTGTTAGAGCACTCTCCATTGTCAACCGGATACCGTCACTCCCTGCCGCCTGCAACCATAAGCAGTGAAATCAAAAGGCTGAGACTTTCACGACACACAGAGCACTTTGCCCACAAAGCACAGACACAGGACCAGCATACAAACAAGAGAAAATAAAGCAAACCCCATTAATAAAGCAACCCCCCAGTCACTTCACACTAGCAATGGCCAGTTTGCCAGAAGACAAGGCAGTTTGGGGGGGGGGGGGGGTTATTGCTAAAATTCCAATCAGTAATAAAGCAGGATCAAATCAACATCACAAGAACAATTATTAATACTTTGTTCACTCTTGAAAATATTTATACGGGTTGATATACCCACTTCCAGGAACTAGTAAACAGTGCTGAGATTAAGTATTCTTGTCATAACGAATAACTTACCTTCCTAGAATAATTTTGGATTTAAAAAAAAAAAAAAAAAGTATTAAACAGAATCCAGATTTCCCCAAGGATCTTTCAGGAAGACTGAGTCTGAACTGCGTTCCTATTTACATACCCTGTGGTAAATGACCTGCCTTGAGGTAAACAACCTTTCAGAGAGCAGCAGTAAATTGTTATTTACCAGCTGCGCATGCCCGAAGTGCGAACAAGTTGACAGCTCTAGTCCAGGCACCTTTTCCTGATTTCTGTCAACAGCACAACTGAAATTATAACAAAGATCTATAAAGAATAATTAATATGAGAAAAGAGATTTCTTTTGCCTCACATATTACTTCTCTCTCCTCAACTGCACTCACCTCTTCTTTTTCATGCTGGCATAGATAGTACCCATCAGGAATCAGAGCCCTTTTCTCCTGTACAAATAACCACATGACCAGGACATCTATATCATGCAGAATGGAAGAGCCCTCAGTGCAGTGCCCTAACCTGACTACAGTTTGATGTGCACAACATCATCTCAACATACAGCAGAAACCCAACACCCCCTTCACCAATAAGGTCGCATCCCACTGTTGGATCATATTAAAGAAGTTCTGTATTAAAATCACAAATGAGTTTGATTCCCCATAGTTTAAATTCCAGGGTATTACTAATTAAGAGGTTTCTGAGTAACAGCCGTGTTAGTCTGTATTCGCAAAAAGAAAAGGAGTACTTGTGGCACCTTAGAGACTAACCAATTTATTTGAGCATGAGCTTTCGTGAGCTACAGCTCACTTCATCAGATGCATATGAAGTGAGCTGTAGCTCACGAAAGCTCATGCTCAAATAAATTGGTTAGTCTCTAAGGTGCCACAAGTACTCCTTTTCTTTTTACTAATTAAGAGGTCTCTTGGTTTTTGGTATTGTTTTTCTCTCTCTGTGTGTGAAACTTGCAAGCTGCTAATTGCGTTAGTACATTCCAAGACAGAGTCTGTTCTTAAAGCAATTCTTTGTAACAACAACTACTCACACAGAGAGAGACTCAAAGCAATACTCTGTAACAACAGAAACAGCACCCAGAGACTCCCTGCCCTTTTGTTGTATTCATCTTGCTTTGTTAACAATTGTGATTAAAATAGAGATAGAGGATGTATGTGGATGGATGCTTGGTGTGGATAATAACTGAATGATCAGGGACGTGCCAGCCTAAGAATCCAGTGTCCATCGGCTGAAGAAGGCATCAAGTGGAAATAACCAGAGGACCCCTGGAGGGCAGACTAGAATCCACCCAACAGCCTCAAGAATGGGAGAACCAAAGAACAAGATAACATCTAGCAGCACGGAGCCGTCAGGAATGTACTATCTGCTGATTGATTCAGCAACAGCATGATGAAGCAATTCCCATAGACTAGCATAGGAAGAAATTCCTATAAAAATGGACTCTAGAAAGTGAGAACTTTGGGGTCTGATTCTGCAAACCAACTTCCAGGAGCATCAAATGTGCATCTGACAAGGCCCTGCTCCCTCCTCATGTCCAGGCCTCCTGGCCAGTGGCTTGGCATGAGCAACTCTAAGGCTGGTAACTATGATAACAACCTTGCAGAACCTGTGTGTGTGTGTGTGTTTGTATGAATGAATGTGTGAATAAATATGAGACTGAATGGAACGTTATAGCTATAACTAACTGCTTACTATGATTCTTTCTGTATTCACAATAAATGTGGTATTTTGCCTTTTCCTCTTTAATAAGATCCTGCTGGTTTTTATTTTATTGGTATAACACCACCCCTTCAGATTCCCCTAAAGAGGGAAAAATTAAGGAGAAGCATGTATGGTTCTCAGATTTTCAACCTGCTTTTTGCTCAGAGTCTCTCCCTTTCCGGTTTCTGCCATTTCAGTAAGAGCTGTAGAGGGTAAAGCTGTGTTTTGGACTAGCAATAAACACTGTGAAAGCCAACACACACCAGTTTAATTTTGGTAGCATCCTTCACATAAATTGTACCACGAAGTGCTCTACGATATAAATACACGATGAGAGACATACAGGTAGGCAAGGCAGATTTTCTGTTGAGGCTTAATGAGATGGAGGGCTCACGAGACAGATACAGGGAGGGTGTTCCAAGTGCCAGGACACAGAGAAGAAAACTCTCATGCTAACAGTGGCCACATTGTGTGAGGAAAATCAGGGAACCAGGGCTAAATAAATAGAAGGAGCAGTGCAGAGATAAGTTCGCTACATCCCTCGCCCCACTAACTCATCACTATAGAGCACTACATAGGCACAATCAACGGAACTCTTTCATATTGGAAGGGGCCACTTTTAATGGGGGGTGGCCTCAAATCTCAAAACTGTGACTCTCCTGGGCAACTGTGTTAAGAAGAAACTTATATTGGATTATAAATTGAAAACATTTCCCTATCTATGGTAGATATGTGGCCCCCATCACTGTAATATCTGTGGACCTTACAATCTTTAATGTATTTATCCTCACAACCACCATGAGAGCAGGGGAACTTAAGCAGAGAGAGGCTAAGTAACTTGCCCAAGGTCACACAGGAAGTCTTTGGCAGAGCAGGGAACAGAACCCAGACCTCTCAAGTCCTATGCAAGTCCTCTAACCAATGGCCTACCCTTCCTCTAGAGTAATACCTTGCAATTTTTAAACTGAAGTGTCACTACAGGGAGGAAATAGTGACAACTACCTCCCATTGCTTCACTTGCAGCCCCAGCAACAGCTGTAGTGTGAAACTAGCCAAGGCTGCCTCCCACAACCCCTCCCAGGGGAGCCCTGAATAGACAGAAAAAGAAGAGAAGCCAAGAGCCAACCATCAGTTACAACTTCTGGAGTCCCTGCCTCAACACAGCCTGGAATCTGCTCTAACTTGTGCCAGCTGGCTACAGCCTTCAAGAGACTGTACATGAGCTAGACACAGCCAAAGCACAGTGTCCACTAGCCACATCCCTCCTTGCACCTGGGGCAGTGGGGAGGAAGGCACAGGAGCCAAATACGCTGACACTGTGCCTGCTGGGAATTCCTCCACCCTAGGCAATTCCCCAGCAGGCAACTTACAGGTTGATTCTGCTTCCTCTGCATCATGTGCTCCTTGGCACAGAGCAGAACAAACCAAAGAATCTGCCCCAAAAGTACTGAGTGCAACTCCTTGATCGTTATTAAATAATATAGAAAAAAAGAGCTGGAAGGGTCTGCAAGAGGTCATCTCGTCCAGCCCACAAATACCCATACAGCTACATCTGCAGAGCCCCCTAGTGTAGATGCAGCACATACCAACAGGAGTTTTTCTGCTGACATAGTAAGGTTATCTCCTTGAATGATATTCACGGTGCTAACAGAGGAACTTTGTAGACAGATGCATCCACACTGCGGTTTTTGGCAGCACAGAAATGTCAGGTAAAATCAAATAGATGGTACCCCCCACTGTTTTTTTCCATCTCCAATGCCCATTAATTTATTAAAATTTAATTAACCATGGAACAATTTATCAAGGGTGGATTTTCCATCACTGGCAATTTTTAAAATAAAGACTGGATTTCTTTTTCTTTTTTAAGATATACTGTCGTTCAACAGAAATTATTTTGGGGGAGTTGTCAGTGTTATACAGAAGGTCAGACTAGAAAAATCACAATGTTCTGAGAGACTTTCCGCTTTCATTAAAAAAATAAATAGAAGTTTCTATCCTTCATGGCTGTGGAGAAAAGCTCAAACCAGAGTGTGTCTGAAAGACTCAAAAGCCAGAGGGCAAATTTAAAGAACCGCATAATTTTTTTTTAATTCTTGTGATTTTTAAGTTGATTTCATGATTTCTGGGAGCTTGACTCACGAGTTTTGAAAAGCTGGGGGTTGGCAATTCTGAGAACAACCTTGCAATTCATTCCTCCTGACCAATACTTTATTGCAAAATGCCCGAGTCACATAAACCAATTCCTCCACTCACCCCAGCAAAGCAGCATCTTTCACCCCATACATCAAGCTGATGGTGGGGTAGGACAAAGGAATCAGCCACAGACTCCAGCTCCTATGAGCAGCTGTCAAAACAGGGACTGCTGCATTGGGGCGGGAGGGGAAACGGGTTAATTAGGGCCCAGCCAAGGCCACCTCTTCCCCCCGCTACGCCTCCACCCACCCATTCAGAGCTATGCAAGAGACACCCCTCCAGCACAACTCTGGGTGCACTAGGACCCAGGTATGCCTCCCCTACTTTCCTCCCCGTGGCTTGGGGGGGGGGGAAGGGGGGAAGAATTGTCGGGTGGAGCCAGCCAGAGAATCCAGCCAGTAAGGGCAGCTGCAGAAGCACGCAAAGCAGGGAGGTTCAGAGAAATTTCTGTATTTTTGATTGGACCTTCTCTGACCTGTGCTGTGCTGATTAGCAGTTTGTGCCAACCCTCCTGCTCCTCTACAGTCTTTACACCTCAACTTAACTTCACAGGATCTGCCCCCCTTACCCTCTTCTCCCGTATCCTGACCCCTCAGTGCCCTGTCAGTGATCCCTCTTCCTTCACTTTTCTTTCAATTTACCTAATTCGCTCCTTACTAAACCCACCAAAAAAAATTGTGGAATTAACACACAGTTTGCTACCATCACATGCTGCTTGTATGTTCATAGAATCATAGAATATCAGGGTTGGAAGGGA